TAAAAAAAAAAAAAAAAAAAAAGAAGGAAGCTTAGTGGTTGGTAGGGGCAACACAGACAGCTCTTTCAGAGGTTCATTTATGAAAATCTTAATTCTGTCAACATGTACTGAATTTTAAATACCTAGGTCCCCATGTCAGCTAACTATCACACGTCAAAGTCTCGGTAGGTATGCAATCTCTATATGTTCAATGTTCAGGTACATCAGTCTATGAATGTGGGAAGTGTCAGTGTATGTAAATGGGATTACCTAGAGAAAAGATTCTTCACCTTATGCCACATGTTACCGACAGCGTTACTAACTTTGGCCGAGAGACTGGGAGGTGATGGGGCAGGAATAGAAGAGGGCAGAAAGGGATGGGGCATTGAGCAAAAAGCAAAAAAGAAAGAAAAACACATTTCAGTTTCAATCCCTGCGAAAAAGGCCAACCCTCACCCCTCCAATCATCTTCACATATTTGATTTTCTGGCTACACTTAAGGAATGCAACCCGCTTAACTATCCCCCTCATGAAGACTTCAAAAATCACACGCTACAAAGTGTTACTCACGTGTCCTTCCTTGCTCGTAGATGTTCAAAATAAAGGAGTCCACGAGAATTGACACTCAGTACTAAATCTTGTCCCGAGAGGATATCCAGACGAAAAGGTGATCCCGTCACTAGGAGCTTGTGGCCTCCACCTCCTATGGACAACTCTATAGTGTTGTCATCCTGCCCAGTCACCTGTAGGCTGTGACAAGAGGCACATAAAACCACACTGTATATCTTGCATGTATACAAAGCTATAACATAACACAGCTCAAAATGTACGGTTATATTCAGTTGGTAGAAGGAAAGGGAAAACACAAACAAACAATGAGAGCAATACAGAGCAATCTACTTACTTGTCGGGAGTGGGCGTCCCAACCAACACATCAGGAACCTCATATCTCGGTTTTAGAGGCTTAAGCTCATTAATCTTAATGCGTGTCATGTTTCCATGTAATCCAAAGACCTCCAGCAAAAGAGAGACCTGGGACAATACGAAAAGGCACTTCTTTGTTCACAGTTTACTCTAATGACCAGTGAAGTACCCCCTCACCCTTTCCCACTAGTTAAAATGCAAGTTCCCAGCACTCCGTAAATTAAACCATTTATAGAATTTGTTAGAACAGGACTCAGTTTATACAAAGTTCAAGATAAGGGAAACAAAATGGCAAATAATGTAGGGAGTGCACTGTAATGCAAACGCTAAACAGGCTTTTTTTGACAAATCAGACAAGCATTGCCTGGAATACACGTGAAGAGAAAATTGGAAGTTCTAGCCGCTTGAATGAGTTTTAAAAACCTTGTTTTTTGTATAGGAGCCAAACATTATATAATGCAGTTCTAACCATAGAAATGCAGCTCGCATGAGCAACTATATTTGTCTTTATATGAATCTCCTGTAATTCTGTGTACATCAGCATGTAGAGGCAGGCCCACATTGGAAGCCAATCGGACCCTGCTGATTGCATACAGACTAGAGCTGCAGCTAACGATTATTTTCAAAATCGATTAGTTATCCGATTATTAAGTTCGATTAATCGGTTAATCAAATACATTTTTAAAAATGGCTCCAGTGATGGACTACTAGTTTGTATTGAAAGGAGCAAGCTTGGAGCGGTGAAAGTAAAAAAGAAAAAAAAAGTGTGGTGTGCAATATAGTGAAATGGAAAGTGTAAAATTATACAGCAATGCAGAATTGCACCAGCTATAGAGGACTACTAATCCCAGCAATAGTACAATATACAGCGCAATGCAGAATATCACCAGCTATAGAGGAGCACAACAAATCCCAGCAATAGTACATTATAGCTGGTAGTATTCTGCATTGCGCTGTATAATGTACTGTTGCTGGGTTTTGTAGTCCTCTATAGCCAGTGGTATTCGGCAGTGCACCACTGTATAATGTATTATTGCTGGGATTTGTAGTGCTCCTCTATAGCTGGTGGAATTCCACATGACGCTGTATAATGTATTATTGCTGGGATTTGTAGTCCTCTATACAGCGCAGAATATCACCAACTATAGAGTACAACAAATCCCAGCAATAGTACATTATACATACAGTATATAATGTATTGCTGGGATTTGTATTCCCATGTATAATATACAGCACAATGTACCATCAGCTATAGAGGAATAAAAATCCCAGCAATACATTATAGAGCACCACGTGTGGGAAAGTGCAGGCTTATACCTGAGCAGTCTTCCAGCAAC